AACAAACAAACAAACAAACAAACAAACAAACAAACAAACAAACAAACAAACAAACAACAAGAACAACAAGAACAAAGAACAAACAACAAACAACAACCAACAACCAACAACCCCCAACAACAACAACAACAACAAAGGTCCAAGTTTTCAAGAACACATAGACTACAAAAACAATCTGGCAGAGCTAGACTCAGCATGCAACCTGATCAACACCACCCCAAGGTTTGAAGGACAAATTGACTACTGTAACTCAAAAAAGATATACCTGTGGGCTGCCTGAATGGGTCCCTGGCTCTGAAAAAGGTGTGCCACATGTTTGGTTCTCCCCCACCTGAGAAAATGGCACTAGATTGCTGAAAGACACAAACGAACTCACATCGGCTGACATACCGTTGGTCCTTGTCATCGGGGTAGAGGCGTTGATCCTGGTAGAGGCGTTGATGTTTCTGTGGTGAAGACGTGGGTCGGTCCGTGTGTCCATAGCTTTCCAGTTGATGAGTGAACCAAAAACCGGCATCTCTAAGCAAAACCAGCCTCCCAAGGTTAGATCGAAAACAGGTTCCCCCCAAAAACGCCCTATATGATTGCAAAGGTTGGGTTTGCCAAACCTGTGGCTGCTGAATCCGCCTGTGTGAATGATTCACTTCACACGGTGTCATGAAGACATGACCCGGAATGTGAATGTAAAATAATGTAACTAGATTCTCTGGCATTGCAAAGGCTCTTTTTGAATTAGACAAATTTGATCTTCTATCTTCTTTGCAGGTGTTCATCTGCTATCTCACCATGGGCACCCCGCAAACATCACACTTTCTATGAACAGTTCGTTGGTCTTCTTCTGGCCCGGTTCAATGCGCATCAACGAATCGTCAAGTCGCGGGTACCATAGGGGAACGTTTCGACGAGTCTTCTCGGAGCTGTCTCGGAGGGAGGGAACCTTGTACTTAATTTATATATTTCCTTTCCGAGGTATACTACGTGACAGACGTATATGATATACATCGAGATCTAAGACGCAACCCGCTTCTCCGCGCCCCCCTCAAAAAAAACAACGAAACCGCTCGACCAGCTCCCGACCGTCGTCCGGACCCTTTCGGCTCCGGCCTCGAGCATGTTCTCAATGATCTGAAACTTCAATGGCACCGAGGCCACCGTCACCTGCGTCCGCGGCGTCGTTTTCGGACCTGAGGACCGGTCCGGACCGACCGGTGGCGTGGAGAACTGCACCGACCGGTGAGGCTGAAGCAGTCTGAAGGACTGATGCAAAAGACCGAAGTACTTTTGCCTTGTTGCAGGACTTGTGACAATCCACGCCGTCATTGTTACACAATTATTACACATTAATACGTGATACATCTGCTGAAAAGATTTTGTGTGAGACAACTTGCAACTTCATTGCCAATGAACAGTTGATCCATTTGCGAATGAGCGTCTGGCGAACCCCACTGAGATTGGCTTTTACACATCTACAGCGTCTTTGACATCCCACATCAAAAACAACCTAAATGTGTGACATGTGTGTTTGTCCACACCTGTCCCAAAGGACAGTCACCATTGCATGATAATTCGTGCTCCTATTAATTTTCAACTAACCAAGAAGGGGGCCACAGACCTGCCACTGCCGCTGTGGCCAATGAAGACCGGCAGTGGCAGGTAACGTACCTGCACCAATTTTTTAAGCGTTCCTGCTGCAGACTTGCACTTGAGCTTTTGGCCTCACCTACGTTTAAGACCCCCAGCATCCTTTGGGTTTCTCTGCAGACTCGCGCTTGAGCTTTTGGCCTCACTTCCGTTTAAGGCCTTCCAGGATCCCTTGGGTTTCGCCTGTCAAGATCTAACTGCACTGTTAATGTAATCACTAGAGTGGGCTGCACAACTGATTTAGCTCTTGCGAGAGTCCCACTGCGGGCTGTGGTGTGATCCCCATCGAGGGGCGCAGCATATCTTAAGGGAGAACCCCACAGACAACTCTCGTTTTGCTCGTGGACTTCTTCAGGAACTCAAAATGCTGATTGTATGCCGCAGGGCTCACTGAGATCTACTTAGAGAATGTCAGGACGTGCCGCCAAGGATTCATAGGCCATAGGACTTGTCGGTTCTTTCTCCCCTGCTGTTGCTCGTCGTGTTCTAGGTCTTCCTTCGTTTTCTGGAGGCTTTTTGTGTAATTCAAGCCTTTTAGTCAAGGGAGCCCCGTTTACGGCTTTTCGTCAACGCCTTCGGTTTTCCGTTTGCTTGGGCTTTCCTTCAGGCTTGTTAGGTCGACGTTTAGGCTTGTTTAGTCAACGCACACCCTGCCCACACCCCTCGCACCCCTTGCACCTTTCCTTTCTTTCCTTGCCAAAAAAAAGCAAGCGCCGACTTACGGCCCTGTGTGTGTGTGTCCACACCTGTACCAAAGGACAGTCACCATTGCATGATAATTCGTGCTCTTATTAATTTTCAACTAACCAAGCAGGGGGCCACAGACCTGCCACTGCCGCTGTGGCCAATGAAGACCGGCAGTTTTAAGCGTTCCTTCTGCAGACTTGCACTTGAGCTTGTGGCCCCCAGCATCCCTTGGGTTTCGCCTGTCAAGGTCTAACTGCACTGGTAATGTAATCACTACGAGAGTGGGCTGCCACAACTGATTTAGCTCCTGCGAGCATCAATCTAAATGTGTCTGTTCCCCCGCGACCCTCGTCTTGAGGGTCTGCAGACTCAGGCGTTCGGCTTCCTCCGGCCTCCGCCTCAAAGGCGTCACCGTTCGAGCGCAGTTCGTAGGGCTCAAAGGAGTAGCCCCAACCTGGGCGGTTTTCGGCAGCGAGCGGTAAAAACGGGGGACAAACGGTTTTTCCGGCCTAGCCAGCATGGGACGAGAGGACGCTTTACATAGGATGAAGACGATTCCAAGATTATGATGACGATGATGATGGTGATGCAATGGGTTTGGCTGGGAGTGCGATGGTCTGAGATGGATGGACGACATTGACCTGGGGACGACTTGTTTGATAGATTGGGGAATCTAGATGGTGGTCAAAACCCTTGCCCAAAATATGAGCCAACTGTATTAATCATTCCCCAAATACGGTTTAAATACAAAAACACACATATATATATAATATCAGAACATAAATGAACACACCAAACAATACTTTTCTTGGTTCTTCTTTTTGCAATGTATCACCTCTCTTTTGCAGCTCCGATCCCTCGTTGCGGTTCAGAAACGATTGAACGAGCCCACCAAGAAATATCGATCCTCCACGGCCTCGCAAAAGAGCAGCGGAGGCAGTGTTCGGCGCAAAAAGAGACGCGCGTGAGAAACCTGAAGTATTGGGTTCTTCCAGCGGTTCTCACGTGGTTCCTGCCAGGCTGGTGCTCTGGGTGCTTTGGATGGGAGTGTGTCGACGGGTTGACCTCACGCCGCGTGACGCCACCGCGAAATGTGCAAAAGGGAGCAGGTGCAAATCACCAAGGCAGCGTTAGCCGAAGGGCAAGCAAACCAAGGAAAAAACACAGCGTAACAACCATACGTTTGTAGCGGAACGCAAATGACCATCATTCCATGGTTGTATATGCTTTAGACCAGCAAGGTCACATCACACTTTTCTCGCAGCGTACCACACTGCATTGCTCTGCCAAGAAGGCACGGTGCACTTGACATACAAGCACTTGGAGTGACGCAACTAATTGACATTGGCCATTCGGGCGCTACTTCGCCGAAACTCGATGGACACCTCTGCCCTGCTCCTTCATGCGACACACCCGTCTTGCTCAAACGGATGAGATGTCCCAGACATGAGAGATGCCAATCTCCTCACAGGGTGGTGAGTCAAAGGAAGTGGTTTCTTGTGCCACCAAGCAGTAGCTGCAAAACGGCCCTAGGAATTCACCCCAGAAAGAATGATAGATCACATGATATTATATATATATATAATCACGTATGACGTCTCAATGGCGAGAACACAAACCAAAAGGCAGGAGTCCTCATGGACACCATCTTCTCCAAAAATGGGCATCACCCGTTGCGCTTGCAACCCCACACGGCGCGAGCGACATCCATCAAACTGCAGGTCATTCTGACCAGGACCGAAGAAGCTGCAGGTGGCATCCCACACAATCACATTCCTCGAGTGTTGAGGAATGTGGCAGGATTTGAAAGTTTTGCTACATCCACCAACAAAGACTTTTGCGTGGAGCCCAGTTCCCAAGCTCCAAGCCATCCCAGGGTCGCACCATCTTCGTTCAATCAGACTCTCGAACTAACAGAAATTCAGGCAAACACATACCAAATCATAAAAAGTACATGCTAGCTCAGGGTTGGACAACTGACCTCCCGAAAGAACAGAAATATGCAACCGTCAATCCTATCCCTTAGAGGTCATAGAGCCTGGTCTCAGGGAGGTTTTCTCACTGTCCAACCCTTATTGAAAGCACATCCTGAGGTACATCGACACGGCCCTGTAGCGGGCAGGTGCTTGGCATAGTTTTTAACTTTTGCGTCCTCGACGGTGCGCAGCACCAAGGGTGGCAAGGCGCGTGCGTCGAAGGAGAGGATGAAGCGAGAGACTGAGGAACCTCATGGCGCCAGAGATGACATTTCACGATTTCATTTATGCCCCTGCTAGCGGGTATGAAGATGTGACTTCGAACACGCCTGCTTCTTTCGCGCAAACGGATCCACACCTGTTCCAAAAAGATCCTAGCCCAACCCTCGAAAGACATGTCCATTCCATTTAGTGAGTGAAATCAGACCGGCAGAAAACAACAACTTTGATGCAACATTTGGATACAGGAGCCCTTCCAAGGACCCCACAAACCACAAAAAACTGGTTGTCAATAGAAAAAAATAAGAAAACCACTTGGGTTATCTCTGATGGTTTTCCAAATTACAAAAGGCACAAAACACAAAGCAAAAACAAAAAAACAATCAAAACCAAAATACAAAAGAATAAACAAAAACAAACCAAAAACAATAAACAAACAAATGAACAAACAAAAACCACAAAAAACAAATCAAAAAAACAAACGAAAAAGGTAAAAAAACACATGAAAAACAAAAACAAAAAACGCAAGTTAAAAAAAAACAATAGAAACAAACAATGAAAACGCGCGCCGGAAAGGCACCAAAACGAAAAAACAAAACAAAGAGCGAAAAACATGTGCGCCCGAAAGGCACCAAAACAAAAAACACCTAAGGACATTGACAAAAAAACAAACAAAAATTAACGCACCCCCCAAAAAAATAACAACACAAAACAAAAAAAA